ATCCTCCCCCCCTGCCACCACCGCCACGTGGCTAGGGCCACCCCCGTCTCCCTCTCAACCTCCAGGCAAGCACAGCCCCCACCCACCAGGATCTTCACGGATTCACAGAGTCTCCCTCTCTGGACGCTTCTGGGTGGGCAAGGCTGCCATGGGCACAAGAGTGGTGCCCCAAGTAGCCCCAGGTGTGGAAGGGGCCCCGGGGCCTTCTGGACCCCCACCCACCCACCGACGCTAGGGCCACCCCCGTCTCCCTCTCAACCTCCAGGCAAGCACAGCCCCCACCCACCAGGATCTTCACGGATTCACAGAGTCTCCCTCTCTGGACGCTTCTGGGTGGGCAAGGCTGCCATGGGCACAAGAGTGGTGCCCCAAGTAGCCCCAGGTGTGGAAGGGGCCCCGGGGCCTTCTGGACCCCCACCCACCCACCGACCCCTGGGGATTAAGCAGTCATGCTGAAGGGGAAAGAGAGCCAGAAAAGGCGGGCCAGTGATGTGGCGGAAACGGATACCAGCTGCTGGTGGCAGGAGTTCCTCCCACTGGCCAATGGGGGGGGATGTGTGGGGCAGGCTGCTGCCCCCCCGCCAGACACCTCCCTCCAGGCAGCCAGATGGGGGGCTTGCACACGGTCTCCCAATCCAGCCCACTTCTTGCTTGGCTCACAGGGTGGCCCCCACCCTCACGCTGCCTGAGGATCAGGGCCAAGCGACTGGTGCCTCGTGTTGGACCACAATTCCCCTCAGGCCCAAGCCCAGGACGAAGAGAGGTAGTACAGGCTAAAATGCCCAGAGGGCACCACGGGCTCAAAACCAACATCCGTGGGGCATCCTTGGTGCCCTGGGTCTTGGGCGGCCACGGCTGAGAAATCATTAGCAGCTCAGCACCTCCTCCCCAAGACCAGCCCCACGGGATCACCGTCGCCTCCCCTTCTGCAGCCCTGGACCTCCGTCAAGCCAGGAGAAAAGGAAGCAGGAAAAGCCAGAGAGCAGAGTCAGCTCCATCATCCTCTTTTAATCCTGGCCCCAAGGCTGTCGTCGCTGGGCCACAAGAGGGCTGGTCTCCTCCGCGCAACCGAGGCTGGAATGTTGCTTCCAGACAAGTCACAAAAGCAGAGGGGCGTCTCCACTCCCTCGCCCCCCCTCCCCAGGCACCCTTCCGTGAAGGGCAACACCAGGGAAGCGGCCACGTCCAGAGCCGAGGATTCCTCTACGAGGGGGCCCTGCCCCCTGGCCACGTCCCCTAGCGGCATCCTTTGCCCTCTTCCGTCGGTGGGCTCGAGTGGGGGCGAGCAAAGGCCTGACCCTTGCCGGCAGCCGGAAAGGAGGAACGGCGTCACAGGAAGCCAGGGAAGGCCAGCTGCAGCAGCAGGAGGGTGGCCACGATCAGCCCAGCGCAGAGGAGCAGCAGCAGCCACACGGGGAAGCTCCCTGCAGGGAGGGAGGGAGGGAGGGAGGGAGAAGACCCACGTCAGGTGAGGGGGTGAGGGAACCCCTCGCGCCAACTCTTCAGGTGCCCCACGGGCCCCCCAAGGCGGCGGCTTCCCCCCTTCCCTCTCTCCCTCCCTCAACATACGCCGGCAGGGGATGCGGTGCAGGCGGCAGCGGCTGTCCACGGCCACGCTCAGCAGGGCGGCCTCATTGTCCCTGAGCAGCTCTGGAGTTTCTGGCAGGAAAGCCACGGCCGTGACCACAATCCCGTGGGCCTCCCGTACGTAGTACAGCCTCTGCAGGAGGAGAGGAAACGGGGCCGTTGGATAAAGCAAGGGGGGCCACTGGATCCAGAGCGCCAGCAGGAGCAACAGCTGCCCAGAGACTCATGTGGTCTCTCCTCTGGGGCCCTCTAGCCCTGAGGGGCGGTAGTGGGCGTGACCCCCCCCCAAGCTCATCTGCCCTGGCACTGAGCCTCCCCAGGGATCCAGCCAAGCCCCATCCCGTCCTCCCTGCTTGGCGGGGGCCTCGTTCCGCCATTCGGCCGGCCTGCGGCTTCCAGAGCGCAAAGGCCGTCTGCCTGGCTTCCTCCCGGCTCTGCTCCAGTCCTGGCGCTTGGCAGCGCAAGAGCACCCAATATGCCCCACAGCTTTCCCCTTTGGGGCCCGATCCCCATCCAGGTGCAGAGGGAGGCTCCTACCTGCAAGGAGAAGGCGATAAAGATGGCCACGGAGCCCGTGACGGTGCCCAGCCCTAGGAACGTGCCTGTGTCGCTGCAGAAACAGAGGGAGTCGTGGCAGGGGGAGGGGGCGCCTCAGGTGGTGAGTTGCTCGTGTCCACGCAGAGAGCAGCCTCTTCAGAGAGCCAGCCAGGTGGTAGCCCTTGGTAGCCATCAGACGGGTGGCCGGCTCCCAAGTCCTGTTCCCCCCCCCTCAGCCTGTGTTTCCTTAGCGCTGGGGTGACGAAGGAAAAGGTCCGGGTGGGGAGTCTCTCTCTCTCTCTCTCTCCCCCCCCCTTCCCACCTTGGGTCGAAGCACAAGGCTATCCGGGTCTCAGCCCCCAAGGCCGGTGCCTCCATCGAAGCCTGGAGCCTCCAAGGGAGGGGGGGCCCTGGCCTTACCTGAGAGAGAGGCAGGAGATGACCTCGTTGCCACAGGGCCGGGTCAGCAGGGGGAGGAAGCTCCGCCCGTCCCACTTGGTGATGTAGCAAGGAGGGGGCCGCCGCTCCCGCTTGTACGGGATCTGGACGGTGTAGAGCCGCAGAGCCCCGCCTTGGTCCTCCACCTTCCCAAACCTGGGCCAGAAAGGGAAGCGCTGGAGGTCAGGACGGGCGCAACCCAGCTGGCCTCCCTCCCCTCCCCCACCCCACCGAGCCCGTCACCTGCAAGCCTGGTAGCGGTACGCCTTGTCCGGGATGCCCGGGAGGGTCTCGTTCCCAGCCTTGTCCGGGATGCCCGGGAGGTTCTCGTTCCAATGCAGCCCCGTCACCATCTGGTCCCGCTTCCACACACAGCACCGGAAGTCACGCCCCACGGTCACCACCTGAGGAAAGGGGAGAGCAGTTGCCCGAGGGGTGCCAGCTACACCAGCCCCCCCCCACCGTCCCAGAAAATCCTGTGTCCAGCATCCATCCTGGCTGGGAAAGTGTCCCCGCTGCCTGGGCTTTTCCGCCTTGGTCCTCCTGTCATGCCTTCGGGAAGGGCCGGCCGGAGGGGTTGGCGGGAGCACTGGACCATCCTCCGCCTACTCCACCCTCAGCGGGTGCCCCCCCACCTGGCGGTGCTGCACAGGTTCCCCCCCCACAAACACACACACTCCTAACTTCAAGACAAGCAACTTTTGCTTTGTAGTATTTGGCCTGAAAGAAATTCACTCCAAGAATTTTGAACGCAATTCAGCCCAAATAAACACAGCTTTGTCTTATTGGCGCGCCCGTATTTCTGCTTCCAACCATTTGTTTTTGATTTGGATTCCTGCCCCGAAAATCAAGGGCCCGGACCCGATGGCCCTTCCAACTCCACCCTTCTATGGCAAGCTTGTGGTTTCCTTCTTTTGTGTGGGGTTTGTCTCCAGCTGCCCTCAACCCCCAAAGGGTGAGGCCTCCTCTGGGAGAACCAGCCACGGTCACACCAGGGGTGGGCCCTGATGCTGCACGGCTCAGGATCCCTGCAGGTTCACCTCATCCCAACCTCCCGGACAAACACCACAAAGCCGCCACTCCCCGGTGCTCCAGAACCAACACAACCCCTCGGGCCCCGGATGCCAGCGGCTCTGCCGGGAGTAGGTCCAGCCCCTCACCTTGTTATCGGGGCTGAGCGTGATGTCCTCAATCTCTCCCTGGTGAGCCTGGACCTCAAAGGCCTTCTTCATGCTAGGAAACTGCAAAGAATGGGGGGAGGGGCTGGGTGAGTGTGGGGAGGCTTAGTGCCATTGCTACTGCCCCCCCCAAAAAACAAGGGGTGCTCAGGAAAACGGAAGACGCTCCCAGAGGAAGAGGCCCCGTTCCCTTTTGTCGGTCCCCCTAACCCCACCCTTGTACCTCCCAGACCCGCAAGAAGCCGTCCACGCCACCGGTGGCCAGGAGGGTGTGGTCCTCGTTGAAGCACACGGCCTTCTGCAGGGCGTCGGGGCTGGTGTCCGTCTGGACGCAGTGCAGAGTCTCCACCAGCACCTGGGGCGTCTCGTCGTGGGTGCCCTCCGACCGGCTGGGGGCGGGGGCCCTGCGCCTTCGCGGGCCCTTCTCACTGCTGCTGCTGCTGCTGCTGCTGTTGCTGCAGTTGCTGCTCTTGCTGCTGTGACCAGGAGCGGATGTTCACAGCTCAGTTTGCCCTCTCCTTGGCCACTCCCCCTTCCCCCACGCTGCTGCCTGCTTGCCCGCCCGCCCCTCCGCCCGCCCGCCGGGCTCTCGCTCACCCTCACCGGCCCGGGTGGCTCCGTCTCCTCCTGCTCCTCCTGCTGCTCCCTTCGGGGGCTCCCTGAGGCGGAAGCGGAGGAGGTGGCAGGCGGCGTCCTGCCCGGCGGCGACCGTGTCCCCGGCCAGGGCCAGCGTCATGGTGGCGCGCGTCTCCGTGTCGTGCGCGTGCAGGAGCGAGGCCGAGAGCCGCCCTTCCCGCCAGCCCAGCTGCAGGAAATGCTGCGGAAAAGGGTCCTTTTACTCTGCTCTAGAATTTTTCCTGGGATTAATGTCAGGCTGACTGGACTGTAGTTCCCAGGTTCCTACTTTTTGCCCTTTTCAAAGATATGGACAATGTCAGCCTTCCTCCAATCATCTGGTACTCCACCCATCTTCGATGATTTTAAGAAATTAATAGACAGTGGTTCTGATCTTTAATCAGTTCCTTCAATACTCTAGGATGCAATTCAGCAGGTGATGTGAACTCTTTCAAAGTATATAAATGCCAATAAGCAAGCACTTCACAGGAAATAAGCTCATGAATACAACAAATTATCAAAGCCACCTTTGATGTTTTCAAGTGGTTGTTATGACTTTCACATACCTTATGAATAAGACTCGCAATATCTTCATTTTGAATAATAATAAGCAATTTATCCCTATTAGCTCTTCCTCGCAAGAACTGTTCAGGATGGCACTCTGAATTACCCAGCTGAATAAGATATTCCTAAACCAAATACATAAAATGTCAAACCAACACAATTCATTAAAAAATCTGAATGAGCAATATATTCAGTTATCAATAAACTTAGAACATAAATCTGCAAGGATTTAACTCCACTTGGTAATCCCAGCTAGACAAGACCCAGTGAATCAACTGTGCATCGCGGGCCTCGGCCCACGTCAGCACTGGGCTCGCCGGGCTCCTCTCGTGTCACGTGGGGCCCCCCAGGCTCTCCTGGCCGCTGATCCGCCATTTTTGAGAAGGGCAGATGGGCACGTTCTTAAAGGCGCCGCGCGGACGGCCACTTCCCCGTGCTCACCGTGGGGTTGCGCAAGGCTGCCGACCCGGGGGTTCCGCCGAGCGGGGCGGCTGATGGGAAGGCGCCTTCCTTGACTCTCCGTAACTGGAAGCCTGCGAGGAGCCAGTGGTGGGAACACAGGGCCTTGGATCAGCCCTTGTCCAAAAAGAAAAGGAAAAGGTGTGCGGGAGGCAGGTCTTTTGCAAACCGAACGGCTTTCCATGGCCTTTCTCTCTCTCACACACACACACGCACACACACAGGGGGGAAGCCGTTTCCATGCCAGCTCCCGCGGGGATTGTGCAAGGGCGCTCGGAGGACCCGGGAAGACGTTCGGGGTTGGCGGCAACGGCAGAGGAGGGGGCGCACGAGGGGGGGATCGATCTCCCCCCTCCTTGTGACTGAGTGGGGAGCCGGTGCAACGCAGAGCCCGAGACTCATTCAGCTGTGCGCGCGCGCGCGTGCACGAGCGAGCGAGCGCCCGGCCAAAGTAGAAACGACGACCTCGGAGACCTGGCCGGATTGCCCCCCCCCCCCAGGTTGGCTGCATGCAGCGCGACGGTGTAGCTACTCCGGACCTCGTGGATCAGTGGAGTGGGTGCGGAAGCCTCAGGAAAGGGCAGAGTTTGGTTTCCGGAGGAGCAGAATTGCATTTTTGGGCGGGGGGGGGGATGGAGAGATCCCTATCGTGGATTCCGAGGTCTTTTTATTTGGTTTTAGGGCTTTAGAGACTGGATACTTGGAACTGTTCCTTTATGCTGCGGGTGGCCAACCCGGGTTGGTAAATAACGTCTTGGACTTTGGCTTTATTTGGTTCCTTCCTTCCTTCCTTCCTTCCTTCCTTCCTTCCTTCCTTCCTTCCTTCCTTCCTTCTGCAAGGGAGCCGTGCTCTGATGTTGGTGCAAAGAACCCGGGAACCCAAAGGGTGGCCTTATCGCCTGAGCAGGGGAATTGTCCGGACACATTTTTCCGCCCAAGCCTAGAAGACGTCTGACGCTAATTTGAAAGCTGCCAGGACATGGAGGATTGGATGAAAAATCTGTGCATTGCCAGGCCTGTGTAGTCAAAGAGTTTAGCATTAGGTGGCCAGGAATTAAAGCCTATAATGCCAACAAAAACGACAGCAGATTCTTTTCTAGGATGACTTAACCTGTGGAGTAGAAGTACCCTAATTGTCAACGTTGGGTATGGAGGAAAGAGAATGATGGGAAGAGGATCAATTAGCTGTTCTGATGGTCTTATGCTCCTTCAGAACGAGCTTGCATAGACTTTCTGACCCTCAAACCTCATGCAACAGGCATTAGCAACATTTGGGGAGTCATTGCTCACTTCACTAAATAGGCTCATGATGCTCCACTTGACACACAGGGCTACGGGAGGATGACCATCTCTGTGCCCTTAAAGGGCAGACAAGAGGCAAACGAAAAAGGGGGCAGAACAAGGGTCAGAATCTCAAATGCAACTTTTCAGTGACCCTCCCCTAGAGACAAAGAATTATAGCAAAATCAAGTGCAGAGAAATTGAGGGGGAAAACTAAACAGGAAAAGTGAGAGTCCTAGGAGATCAAAGGAATGAAAGCAAAATTGAAACCTAGGTTCAGCGGTGGGCTGGAAGATCACCAAGGGAACAAATCTTATCAGGATGAAATAAAGAGAACTTAGCAACTATATACTGAAGACCTCTATATACCGGGGGAAATGGCCACGTGGCTAAAGTTGTGGTTCGTAGGGTCTTGGATGGACTGCATAATTCTCAAGAAAGACCGGGACGTGTTGTGCATCGTGACTGCTGAAAACGTGGCAACTGGTGGGGAAAAAAAGGAAGCAACAAACTCCATGTGTTGTTGAGTCCATCATTTATTAAGAAAATACAATATATCCAGCATTTTTTTCTCTTTCCAAAATAAAAGTTTTCTATCATTACTATGGCTGGTTATGGATTCCCCCATTTCCACACTGAGCGCCTAGGACGCTGGGCCCTCCAGGTATGAAAGTGGTGGCTCTGGAGTATCTGGATGGCTGGATGGTTTGGACGGGTGGGTCTCAGGACCTTTCTGCTAACTAGCCCCCTCCTGGCATGTCAAGAGCACCTTGGGATGCTCTGGTGGAGTGGGTGGGCAGGTACGTAGCTACTCAGCAGCTGGCCTCTTCTGCGCTGGCACATGCCCTCCGCCTGGCCCTTGGTCTGCGATGGAAGCCCCCCCCTCCCCGCATTACCTCTAGCACCTTAAGGTGCTTCAGCTTTAAACCTGGTTAATCCTTAAAATTAATTCTTAACTTTTGAGGTGGGATTGTGTATCCCAACACGGTCTAATTGTAACCGCCAGTATGCAGAGACCGCCATTTATGCATGCTAAGTTCCAATGGCAGAAGGTGACGTGGCATGCCTGGCCAGCTCAAGGACGCCAGGAAGGTTTTGCACCGTTGGGGGAGGGCTATGGCAGGGCTGGCTGAGGTCCAGGCAGTGAACACAAGTGGCCTCCTGAAGGGTGCAGGCGCTCAGGACTGGGGACATTTTTGAAACACTGGCTGCCCTTCTGTGCTGCACAAGGATCCCTCTTTGCAGGGGTGGGTGGGTGGCTCTTGAGCTCCGAGCGCATCACAGGATGCAGAGCCCTGATCCCTCCTGGAAGCCAGAATTTGGCCGAGCCACGACAGGAGAGCTGGGCCGCTCTCCCCTTTGGGCCCCCGGGGGCAGCTCCCCTTGCAGGGCTCCCCTTGCAGGGTTCACCTGGCCTTAAGGCCGGATCTCAGGGAGACCTTCTCCCCTTTGGGCCCCAGGTCAGGTTGGCAGCACCTGGGTCCTCCGACCCGTGTCATCCTCTCCCACACCCCTCCTGGCCCTTCTTCTGGAACTGAGGGGCCAAAGCGGATCACCCTCAGCACGGAGATGGAGAACGGGCGTGGTGGTGTCAAAGATGGACGTCACAAACAAGGAATACAAATTCCAGAAGGTTAGAGGGAAAGCAGCTTTTTCTCTGACCAAACAATGGAGGCTTGGGGGAGGTGACAAGTGCCAAGGTGTTGGAGCATGTGTGCCCGCATGTGCGTACACACACACACACGCGCACATGCCTACGGTCCGTCCCCCAAGACTGCACTTTCGCCTTTGGCCCCGTTCAGAGAGCTCTTGCCTTGTGAGCGTGACTCAGCAGTAAGAAAAACAACTGCCTTGGAGACGTAGAAACCCATTTATTTATTGCTTCAACGCAAGCGCTGCTCCGGCCTTGCAGTCCCAGCGTGCTGATGCATTAAAGACTCTTAGCTGAAGGTGCATCTAGCCCTATTTGTTGTTGACCTCCATGATTTCTTGCCGTGTCCCACCCTGTATCTTACTAGTTTTTTAAAAGGACATGATGAAGAGTTCTGGGACACCCAGAAGCTTGCAGGCTGTTTTGGCACAACAGTGGGTCCTGAAAGGCCAAGCAGGTCCTGCGGGCTTGGGTTTTGGTTCCCAGGAGCCAACATGGCTACCAAGGATGGTGGCATAACAGCGAATGCGTCCTGTGTGGGGCAGAGCCCTTCCCCTCCAGCCCTGCAAGAGAGGGAGGCCAAGGGGGACCTGCGAGGGAAGCCTCCGCCTGGGGCATCGGGGAGCCAGAAGGTGAAGAAGCCGGCTGACCGGCTGGCCCTGCTGTCTTCAGGCCAGCTTCGCCCTGGCCGGAAGGGGTGCTGGCCCCCTCCTGACCTCTCCTCCCCTGCCTGGCCCTGGGGGGGGCTGCCCTCCGCTCTGCCCAGAAGTCCGACCCCAGGACTGGGAAGGGGTGGGTGGGAAGGGGGCGCCCTTGGAACCGCTGAGGTCAAGGCCAGGACCCACCACCAGAGACAGGGAAACAACTGCACACCAACAAAACACGGCTTTTACTGACAATGGCGAGAAGAGCCTCAGAGACACAGGAAACAGGGACCAAGAAAATAGACAACTTCTCGCAGAGACAAAACCGAGACAACAAAGAAAAGGGGGGCCGGCGCGTGCTCGGCACACACACACACACACACAGAGCCCCCCCCCGCTCCAGCCATGAGCAAAAAGAGAAGCCCGTTGTGAGGCAGCCCCAGAAGCCTTGGGGGCGGGAATGTCTGCGCCCCTCTCCCCACGGCCCCAAAGGCAGGTCTTGGGGAGGAAAGAGGCTGGGAGGGGGCTCCTCCACGTCTCTCTTGAGGAGGGGGGGAGTCCACAGCCCTTGCTTCTGCGCCCCACACCTGCCGCAGGAGGAGGAATGAGCGGGATTTCCGGGGCAGCAACAGCCGTGGGTCAGCCCCACTGCAAGGGCAGTGGCTTCTTTGGTGTGGCCCATCCCCCCTCCCTCCGAGACGGGGTGGGGTGGGGTGGGGTGGGTAGGAGAAATTCCAAGCCCTGCAGGTGAGCAAAGAGGAGGGACCCGGTGCTTGATGGCACGGAGGGGGGGGCAGTCCCCCACCCTCCTCCCACAGAGATTGGCACATTCACAAGATGGAGCTCCCCCACCCCCAGCAGATGGAGGCTCCGTGTTCAGAGAGTTGGCCCCGCCACCCCTTCCGGCTGATTTGCTCTGCCCGGTTCACAGGGACGTCTCTTGCAGGATGTAGGCGTGCGCTGCGTCTTTCCGGACAAACCCTTCGCCCGGTCCTTCCCCCTCAGGGCCACTCCCTGGGGGGAGGCCATCCGGGAGCCCATGGAGCACCCCGTTGCCCGTTTTCTCTGGGGCCAGAGAGCCGGCGTCGTGGCCGTCGCTGCCATCCTGAGGAGGGGCAAGAGGGGGCCGGTCAGTCTCTGAAACGCTGCTCTGGGCACAGCCGGTCCCTCGATGCTGAGGCAGCCCCCTCCCCACGGGGCTCCGCAGGTCCCTCCTGCTGGACGGCGTCCGGCCCCCACCCCCAAGCCCACCTCACAGCTGCGAGTCTTCCACGGGACGACTGGGGAGGAGGAGGAGGGGGCCCCAGCCCCCCCCATCCTGGCCCTGAGGGGAAGCCCTGCCCTTTTCTGCCCACTGAGCCAGAACGGGGGGGGGTCCCCTTGGAGCTGGGCTCTCCTCCCCCATCTCTCGCCAGCAGAGGGTCAGGACGAAGCTGGCCTGCGGAAGCTCTCGCTTGCTCCTGTTCCACCCCATCCTGTCCCGGAGAGGGGAGTAGGAAGCGGATGGTGCCGGTGGTGATGGATTGGGCCCACCCCTTCCCTGCTCCAGGGGCCCTTGAACACTGCCTGACAATAGAACAGAATAGAATATATTATATATTTTGATGTTTTATTTGTGGCTGGCCTTAGACCATAATAAAGTTTTATTCTATTCATTCTATTCACTGCCTGACACCTGCGAGCCACAGGAGGATGGAGGAGAAGGAGGAGAGGGAGCAGCCCTTCCCGTGGATGCCCAGTGTGTATACTGGGGGGCTTCAGAGAACATCCAAGAGCCCCCTCACAGACTCACACACCTATGCACACACAGCACCGCACCAATGCCTCACCTTGTCAGGGTCACGGACCCCACAGCGCAGTCGGTCGTGGTATCTTTTAGGCAAACAGCACAGCAGGCGTGGCAGCACGGGGAAGATGGTGCGAGGGTTCACGTCCTCTCCCCGTGTGGGGCCTGTGCGGGGAGGAGGAGGAGGTGGCAGCGTGACCCAGGGGAGGGGGAGGAAAGGGGCACCACGTTGTCCCCGTCATCGGCATCTGGCTTCCCAGGGCCTCAAGCAGGGCAGAGGACCCGGGGCCCGGAAGGCAGATCTGAGGCTGCCAAGGGGGGGGGGGAAAGAAATTCCCCCCACCACACTCCTGTTCTGAGCCTCCTTCCTCCCCCACCTGCACCTGAGCTGAGCATTTGCCTTCACTCCAGCCGTTCAGGTCCCACTTTCTACCCACATCTATCTGTGCCCAAGGAACGGGGCTTGCCCACAAACATTCTCATTAAAACAGAGCAGTTAGATTTTGTCTTCTTCTTTTGGCCTGACTTTCTATCCAGGACTTGTGGGGTACCTTCCTCCCTGCCACCCCCACCCCCACCCCTGGCAAGGCCTGGGGGCCACGCAAGCTAGTGGCCAATGCTTTTCGCCCTCACCCTGGCCCTCTCCCCCTCTATCAGGCCTACCTATAAAGAGCACTTCTGGTGGAATCCTCTTCCACCCCCCCCACGTACCTGTAAGCAGGCTGACCAGCAGCCCCACAACAATGACGGTGGTGGAGTTGTGCGCACTGTACCACATATATGACAGGTTGTAGAACTTCCGTAGCCCCGTGGGCCTGGAGAGACCACCATCGCAGAGATAAAAAGAGAGAGAAGAGAGTTAGGAGCTATATATATATATATATATATTTCTCTGCGACACACACACACACACACACACACACACACACACCCTGCTGTCAGAGGAAGGCCAAATCCTGCTTTCCATCCTCCCCACCTTGCACCCACACCCCACTTTCTCTTTGGGTAAACACTTGAGGGTTCACTGGGGCTGCTATTCAGAAGGGAAGCATAGCTGGGTGGCTGGTGCTGCCTTTTCTTATCAGTGCCCCCCCCCTCTGTTTTAATTGGCAGCTCTTGTAGCAAGCGACCCTGAGGACCTGGACCTTCTTCCTGACCCACAGTAGCCCCTGTGAGGATGGAACGGAGGTGGTCCAATCCACTGGAATCGCTGCCTGCCTCTCAAGATGCCAACAGAGAGAAGGCTGTTCCTTCATCACATTTCGTGAGGTCGGTTTGTTTTAAAGACGCCGCCTGAGGGGAGACAGCCTGTTGCTCAGTTAGAGTGAAGCCTGAGTCTAAGAGCTGTGCTGAGGAAGGCCTCTTTTTGAAGAAGCCATGAAAATACAGAGTGTTATTGTGAAAATCGTGTAAAAGTCAGCATTCGTCTATATGGGAACACAAAGGACTACACTTAAACCATAAGAAAGAAGTAAAGTAAAAGATATTCCAGCTGCAACCACAAGACAATCTGCAATATTCATTTTTTAAAAATCTGTTAGGTTTCCCCTCCCTTAAATACATGGGTTTTTTTTAATAAACCCTCTCTATTTTGGCAGGGGGAGGGATTAGCAATTAGAAAATAACATCTCACACATTGCATTGGCCAGCAGGGGACCACAGAATCAAGATTATGTCCCGAAAACAGCCCTTGCTCCCTCCCAAAAGGAGAAAAAGGTGGTCCTGAACGCAATACAAATCCAAGGGAAGGTGACATTTCTCTCAGACCCCTAAAAAACCCCAGGCAAGGAGCAAATCCGGGCTGCCTCTTCTTTCACCCCTGGTGCCACGACAGCTTTAGAAAGGGCAGCCTTTCAGCAGCGGGCAAACTCTGGCACTTTGCCTGGCCTAGTAAAAGGGATGTGCCAGGAAGAGGAGCCCAAGTTCACAAGCAAAAGGGCAACTCCAAATTGAGCCAAGGGGCTTGGGGGCAGTTTTCCTTTTGGGTCGAGGGGGGGAGCCCCGCCAACACCTCACCGTGGCTGCGGTTCAGGCAAGCTTCTGCCACACAAGAACGGTTCACCTTTAAGGTAACACGAGGCTCTTGGGGACTTGAGGAAGGACAGTGGGCCCATCCGTGGCCGCAAGCCGTCGGCCTCCAGCTGACCCTCAGAGGTCGTGGGCTACCAAAGACTCATGGGCTGGAGCGCACGAGCAGCAGGAAAGCAGTCCTGCCTGCCTTGTGCCCTTCTCTCTCTCTCTCTCTCTCTCTCTCTGTCTCCCAGCTGACCACTACATGAGATGGCAAGCCAGGTGGCAGGAGGGCCGTAGCTGACGGGCACAGCCCCTGCTCTGTGTGCAAGTTCAGCGGCAGCACCATCAGGCAGAACATGCATATCCTGGGACTCTGGAGATCGATGACCGCCCATTCAAATTGGCAGCTCGAAGCAAGAGAGACCCAAAAGCAAAGCCCGCTGCTTCTGGACCGCGCCCCCCCCCAGCGCTTCAAGCACTCTCCAGGCGGTTTACAAGTGAATGATGCAGGGAAAACATATTGCGCGTGCGCCCCCTCCCCACCATCCCCGCAAGCCAAGAGCTCATTTTACCGACCTTGGAAGGGCAGAAGAGGCCGAGTCAACCTTGAGCCGGCTGCCTGGGGTTGAACCTCCAGGTCGAGAGAGCCCAGTTTTGGGCTGCAGGTCGGCCCTCGAGCCAGGGCGCCACGAGGCTCTTGCCACAGCTCGACACTGCCTGAGGCAGATTCTCAGGGATCTGCTGGGTCCTTGGCAGGTGCCTCATGGAATCTCACCGCGATCCTCACCCCTGGACAAGGAAGGGTCCTCAGCTTTCCCTCACCTCCTCCTCCTCCTTCCTAAGGGACGTCCCCAGCCTGGCCACCTGGCATCCGTCGCCTGGCCCCGGGTGTCCAGGCCCCTGCAGTCACGCGGGGGCTGAAGGAAGAGGACCTCCACCTCCCCGCACGGCCACCAAAGGCCCTCCAGCAGGAACTGGGAGGGATGGAGTCAAGGACAGTCTCGAACCAGGGAACTCCTGCCTCACCCTCTCCAACCTGTGACGTCACACACACACACACACACACACACACACACACACGCACGCACACGCATGCCCAGCTGCTCCTCCAAACTGGGTCCCGGAACCGTTCTGGAAGGAAGGGGACTCACTCAGCCCACGGCTGCAAGTGGCCGCCAGGGTCCCGAGACAGGGTCCAGCATCCCTATAAACATTTCAAATTTCTTTGAAGGAACATTGGCTCAGAAATTCCCCTGGCCCCCTCTGGGGAACTTGGAAGGGGGGAGGTTTCACGTTTTAAGGGCTCTCAATACTCCTGGGAAACCACCATCCCCAAATAATTTTTTAAAAATCTTCTGGCCCAATGAAAGGAGGCAAGGGTGTGCTGTGTTCCCTTTTTTACTTGAAAGAACAGCTGTAAAGAAATCTTTCTGGAGGACTGGTGGGGGGGGGCGTGTTGGAAGAGTGGGTGTTTCCCCCTGCCCTAGAAAGATCCTGCGGAGCGAGGTAGGTGAGGAGTGAGGACTCAGGTGAAAGCAGGGAGGAGGCGGCTGGGCTGAGGCGGAAAGCAGAGGAAGAAGAAGGACCTCAAAACCTCAGAAAGCCGCTCCAGCCGATGGGACTTTGCACAGAGAAGCGTGAGTGACGCACCATGACTCACCAAGACAAAAAGCCATGTGAAGTCACTGTCTCTCTGTGTTAGTGTGTGTGTGTGTGTGTGTGTGTGCACACGCATCAAAATCCCTTGCAGCATAAGGCACATCATCACAGCAGTCAAACATCCCCAGCTGGTTAAACAAATATCGGAAAGATTTGGTGAACTGGGGAGAACAAAACATTACAGTACGAGACCCATGGAAGAGGCAAAGCGTGTGTGCAAGTGTGTGCAGAGGTAGAGTGTGTGTGTGTTCTTTCTGCCTGAGGAGGGGGCTTCTCAGCATCAGTTGAACCGGCCGCTAGGAGTTTGCTACAGACACATGGGGAGGCCAGGCCTTCTGAGGACAGAGACCCAGGAAGAAGTTGGAGAGGCCAAATGGAGCTGAAGGGCTCCCCACTCTTGGCCTGCCCCAGAACAGCACACACGCCGTCCCTCTGGCCAGACCAAGCAGAAGCCTGCACCTGAGTCTGGGGTGGGTGGGCAGACCGCTTAGGGCCTTGCAAGCCGTCGCTAGCTCAGAGTGTCGCCCTGCAACCGGCAAACCCCCTCCTGTCCTGTCCTGTCCTGTCCTGCCCACTCGCCCCGCCGGGTTCCTCAGTCCAGCATGTCCTGGGTGGGAATTCCCTGCGCTCGCTTTTACCTCTTCGGGGGTGCTGGCGAGGTCAGCAATGTCGTCATGATGGCCGTCGTCAGGTTTCCATCCAGCGGAGGGAGGGTGGGGGCCGGGGCCGCACTTTGCATGTTGACCACGAAGCTCCCGATGCCGACCCAGAAGGCCATGGCGAGCCCAGCTACCAAGCCAGCCACAGCACCCTGGCCGCAGAAAGGGTATGTGTGTGTGTGTGTGCAGAGTGTGAGGAACCTTTCGCGGCCCTCCAAAAGGGCCGA